CACTCGTGCCACCGACAAGCGGAGCATGGCGTAGAAGGCGAGACAACGGGGGAAGGGAAAGGATAATGATTCAGACTGCAACAATGGAAGGGCTCTTTATACCTCCAATCAGAGCTGCTGATGTAAGTCGAAGCATGATTATCATTCCCATCAGAGCATATCGGAAAGGCCAGGCGCCCGGGCGTGCCACAGGCAGCCCAAATAAAGGGACCCATAAATGCTCTGATTGTGCCCGAGCGGCCTAATCATATTGCCCAGCCCATGCTTGACAGTCACCCAAGGGTCAAAATGCTTGAGGCTATGGATTCGAGACAGCCTGAGGCATTGTGGTTGTTCGAGTGGCAGACCAACAATGGGCAGGCAGGCTATTGTCCCAGTCAAGTTGAGTCTGGTAAGGCCTGTTATTGTAGCACTAAGGATGAATGCAGTTGTCAGATCTTAGGCCTTGACCTTTGTCAGTTAGCTCCAGCCTACTAATACAGGATCAGTCGCAGCAAGGCCAGTACTACAGCGCCAAAAGACAACTCACCTGCTTGATGGCCATCTGTCCCTCCCAGGAGTGACATTGGATCCTGCCAACTAAGCTGGGGTGGTGTATTGTGAGGCATGAGTAGGAGACATAGAATGCATACGGATTCTTTGTGTACCTTGTGTGACCGAGAGCATTATTCAGGTCACAGTCACGTGGGCTCCTTTCGATGACGACGATGGTGTGCTCGAGCAGACGGCGACGGCGCACTCATTGCTTAGGTGTTTCTTTTATCTCTTCCCTGCTGAGTATTTGCATTGCTTAGGCTCGTGTAACCTCGCAAACGGCGTTGTCTTCACCTCCTCTTTTGGGGGTCCGGCTTCAAGACAACTCAGCAGACTCAGTTTACCCAAGTCGATGGCTTGCTCATCAGTCCGAGAGGACAGCCACTCCTCATCGACTGGCAGCTGTGTGGTGGCTGCCAGAGGGGCCATCATGAATTCATGCATGACCCAGACACGGAGCCGAGACTTGCTCTTGCGCTCAGCCGTAAATGCCCTAACACCCTGTCGTCAAGCTGATGCTCGGGCAGCATGCTCAGACATCTTTAAAGATACCAATCCCTTTCCCAGTCCATTTGTTTCGGGTTTGATGCCGGCGTCCGACCCATTCCAAGAACCTTTACGCCTCCAACCTCCACCTTGACTCCCACCTCACCGCTTTCCAGGCCATCATTGACCGCGGATTTGAGAAGACCGCTATGTGGGCCCATTCACCCATACTGATTCGAGGCTCTCATCAGGCTATTCCAGTCCTCCCGTTGCCCCTTGTACCCAAGCCACACAACCCTGGCATGTTCCACCTGGTGCAGTATCTCTCCAAGTCAGCTCAACCCCTATCTGCTCTGTCAAGTCCACCCTCGACTCGGACAACTTTTCCTCCATGTGGGAGACCTTCACGGTGATATGCCTCTATGTGGCTCTGGTCTCTGAAAATGCATTTCTAGGCTATTTGCGCAGATTCCCACACTCTGTGCGAGAGTGAGCGTATCCGCTGATGAACACGAACACACGACGAAACCCGGAAAGAGGAAGACCTAAACAAACAACAACCACACACCAGCATCAATCCCTTGGTGCTGCTGCGGCTGCGAGGCCCCGGGAATCGAAGGGTATGAAAGTAGTTCGGAGGGAGTCAATGGGAAATATAGGACTGAGACCACAAGCCACAAGAGCGACGTAGCAAAGCGCTAAAAATAGAACAAGCGGCGAAAGCGACCAGAAGTGACGGAGAGCGCTATAGAAGCGAAAAGGCGCTGAACGCTAAAAATAGATGTAGACTTTAAAAAATAGAACAAAGCGAAAAGACCTCTGGTGTCTGGCGAAACACAGACAGACAGCAAAAGCTCTGAAAGAAACAGACAGAAAGCACACAATGAGCGAAATAGCGACGCGTGGGAAAATATGATGAAGCGACAGCGCCCAATAGCTGGCAATAGCTCGGGACGACTGGGGATGCGGAGCAGCGACGATTCCGAGAAGCGCAGGATAATGAGCGAGGCTTGCCAGCAGTTTAGCGACAAGCAGCGGCTTTAGCGACAATTAGCGGGTTTAGCGACGATGAGTGGGATTAGCGACGGAGATGCAGGAGACTCAGACAGAGACACAGGAAAGAGAGGGAAACACTAGATTGCACAGGGAGGACGAGATACAAGCTATGGGGGGACTCTGGTAGCCTCGGTAACCTAAATTACGAGTACAGGAGGTGCTACTCTAGTAGTCTACCTGCCTAAACCAAATATCCGAAGGCCCATGTGCTAAACAATAAGAACAATAGCTATGCGCAAAACAATAGAAAGGCTAGACCAAAACCCGAACCTCGGAACAAGCTCCAGAAGCTGCAGCGTCCATATACGGAAGCAGCCGCTGTCCGACACAAGCGTGGGAATGCGCGCTCGTCGCATCAGAAGCGCTGCCGGATGACGAACGGGGCCGGCAAGGCACGCACACTCTCGGAAATGACTCGAAATGACTGAGACGACCTAGAACAAGACTGTCGGCCATCGCCGAAGCGTCGCTGTGTCGCTGCACCACACCGCTATGATGTGCTGCCGATGCCGACAGCGCCGCTGCAGCGCTGCATATCGAGAGGCCAGCGACAGCCTGTGGAACGATTCGGAGAGGTTGTCGGGCGAGGTCAGAGCTCCGGAAAAGCCAGGAAATAACGGAAAAATCCATAGAAACTTGAATATCGCTCATAGCGCGACGCCGCAGATACGCTCACTATTGCACAGAGCGTGGGAATCTGCGCAAATGTAGCTAAAATGCGTTTTCGGCGCTCAGAGACACGTAGGGCGTATTACCGCAGCGTCGCGCTACGAGCAAAACTCGAGTTTCTGTGGACTTTTCACTATTTCCGGCAATTCCCGACGACTCTCCGATCTCATTCGACAACCGCTCCGCTGCATTACATGAGTGCGCGTGCTCATCTCAGCCATCACGGCGGTGTGGCGATACCCTCCCGACAGGCGGCGGTGTTGTACGGCAGTGCTGCGCTGCCTCGGCAGTGCCTTTGCATGTGCTGTCCATCAAGTTTCGAGTCAATTCCGAGGCTGTGCGTGCCTTGTGGGCACCAGCGCGGCCTCCACACGGCCCATCAGCGCTTTTTGATGTGGCGCTGTGCGCATTCCCACGCTCCTTTTGGTATGCGCCCACCTTTGCACATGGTCACTGTAGTGTACGGAGATTGTTCCCCCTTGTCTGAGGTTTGTGATGGATCATTTTCAGGAGTAGTTTCAGTTTGTTAGCATATGGTACTCGGATTATTTGATTTTCTCTGTAGTATACTTAAGTCGGACTTCCCGATACTGTACCCTAGGTTAGCTTAGGCCTTAGGCTCGGTGACTACCTCCCTGCGCAATTCTACTGTTCCCATCTAAAACTCTGCGTCACTCATCTCTCTGAGCTTACTGCATCTACTGTCTGCTACCTCTCGTCGCTGCGCTGCTGTTCCCGATTTTCGTCGCTGCTGCTGTCTGTGTCCTGCCAGACACCAGAGTTTTCCTGTTTTCATGTTGTTCTATTTTTAGCGTCTACGTCTATTTTTAGTTAGCATGCGCGATTTGTTTCTAGAGCGCGCGATGTCGCGCGCCGTTGCATTTCGATCGCATTCTATTTTTAGCTTTGATCGCATTTTTCGTTAGAGTATATGTTGCCCTGTGGTTGGCGGTCTCGGCCCTATACCTTTCCATTGACTCCCTCCAAACGTTTACTATACCCTTTGTCACCCCGGACCTTGCAGCCATCTAGCACCAAGGGTTTGGTGCTATGCTTTGTGGTTGTTGTTCCCCTTTAGGTCTGTGCGGGTTTCATCGTGTGTTCGTGCCTTTCACCATGGTGACGTCCTGCCTGATCGATGGGTCGATGTCTTTGTGGAGGATATGGTATTGCCAATCAGGGACCTCTCAAGTCAGTCCGACTGGTCCTCTGAAGACTCTACTGCTTCTCTGATATCGATGCTGTCAGCTCACAGCTCGGTATCCCTTGGGAGCTCCGCAAGGACATTCCTTTCTCTGGGTGTTGCCCTTTCACTGGTTTCAATCTGGACCTGGATGAGCGTACAGTGCCCCTTATCCCGGAGAAGTGCGCTACATACTGTAAACTTCTTCATGCCTACAGTGTCATCCCTGCAGGGCGAGCCTACCTCGTCAACTTGGAGGCCATGCTTGTCGCTTTTCACGAGAGTACCCACCTACCGTCCCACCCCACCCCTCCGGAACTCCTGATGATCTCGACCGCTGGCAAAGCACCCTCATGCGCTGCCCTCTTTCCCGGCGCATTTCCGGCGCGGTCGAGGTTGTTGACCCAGGTGCCTTCTCCGATGCCAGTTCCAGTGTCGGCATTGCCGTCCTCATCAATGGGCACCGGAGGGCATGACCTCTCCTTCCGGTTGGAATCGGCGGGACAGCCATATCACCTGGGCCGAGGCGTTTTCGATTCACAGTTTGTATCCTCACCCAACTTATGTCCGGTGAGTCCCACCTTCTTGCCTACGGTGACAATAAAGGTATTATCGACGGGTGGTCGAACGGGCGCAGCAAGAACCGTGCCGTCAGCACCGTTTTCTGCCACATACACGCCTCCGAGTCCCTTGCCTCTACCGGGTGCTGCATCAACATCCCGAGCAAGCGGAACGCGGCCGATGACCCATGTAAGTCAGTGTCTTGCATTGACATATCACTATCATCTTAACCTCGTTCCTCATCAGTGGCTGCACCGTATTGTAAGTCTTCGCCATGCCTATGCACGCTTGGAAGTAGCCTAAAGTGTTTAGATATCTGGCCCGAGGTCGAGTGCCGTCCCCCTGTCGTGCGGCATTTATCCCCTCTCTCACCTCCTTCTCCCTTTAGTTACCATTCCGGACCATCTGGCGTACTTCGCCGTTGACTACGATGCTCCCCGTCAAGCCCAGGAGCTCAGCAGGATGCATTCAAATAAGTCAACATGGGCTATTGGGGAAGGCTGTTGGGTATCCTTCGATAGCTCAGTTGGAAGAGCGCAAGACTGTAATGGAAATCATGTGATCTTGATGTCGCTGGTTCGATCCCGGCTCGAAGGAATTTGCTTTTTCCCGACCCTTTTTGCGCACATGACTGTACACGCAGGGAACTGCAGCTGCAGCGATACGCATACTCACGACTGGCAAGTGGAAAGGATAAAAACAACTGAACTGACACGGGAGCTCCATGGGACGATTTCATAAGGTGGGCGACTATTGGATTGCAAGACTGGGTCTAACTTAACTTCTCAATGATACAAAGCGCAGGCTGAAGGAGACAGAGGTGGCGGCCGTAACAAATGCCTTCGAAACACCCACACACTCCATTAGATGCCACCACCAGCAGAGTTCGTTCTAGGTCTTCCACCGAGCAGTCTTATGTCTTCATGTCGACGTCCGCCACAAGATTTGGAGGAGCGGGAGGCAAGCACGGCATCCATGGAGACAGGAGGCAAAACAGCAGAGCGTCTTTGAGAAACAGCTGTGGACACTGTTCGCATATAGGCAGGGAGAGAAGGTAGCACCTTTGAATCGTGAGGAAGATTGTTGGGTATGCGGATGGGTTGCGCAGAAGGAAGTCCTGGTATATTGGAACCGCGGTCGGACTGGGGAGTGTTGAGTTTCTTGACGTCGGTCGACGAACCGGCAGCGGGATAGGATAGAGAGCTCGGAGAAGGCGTGGATATCTCTGCTTTTCCGGATGACGTATGGAGATGTGTGCGGGGAGCCACGAGCCTGTCATAATAGAGCCGCGACTGCTCCTTCATATATGAGTCGTACGTCCCCAGCGACTCCTGTATACCGAGCGCAGGACCGATAGCAGCTGCGATTGAGTTGTATACAGCTATGCGATCTTCTTGCTTCAAAACCGGCTGATCCAGATCCAGGTCAGGCAAGTCTCCAGGTCCAGAGGCCAGCGAGGGATAGTCGAATTCAGGTTGTACCGTATGGGGTGTATACTGAGCTTGATAGTAGACTTGTCCCTTGTCGCAGTAGAGCGGGTACGAGTGGCAGTCAGACAGGTCTATATGGCCAGCATATATCTCTGCTTCAATGTCGTCATGCAGGTCTTCGTTTGAAGAAGCGACTACAGAGCAGGGTTGCCCAGGAGTGACCGGAACACAAGAACTAGAGTTGACAATATTGCACGAGAAATAATCAGAACCGAATGAGTTCTCGGGTACCAAGGGTGAAGAGCCTGAAACGTCGCTCGGGGTGCTAGTGCTGGGAGGTGTACGGAGACTGCTGATCGAGGAACGTGATGTCGCATCCATCAAGAGAGGAGAGCTGGCGCATGAAGCCGGGCGTATCGATAGCTATATACATACGATTCAGACTCCCACATGCTCGACAACGAGAGTAGGAACTTACTAGTCTGTGTTGGGTGTGACCGACCCAGTCATTGCTGGCCGTACTGGAGGAGGCCATGATCGCACTTGTCCTATCTTCCTTTGCTCTCAAGCCTTTGCTTCGGAACCAATCGTAGACTATGCGACGGTCGACATTGTATCGCAGCTGCAGCTCTTTTCGCATGTGATACGGGGGCATTTCAGTGACTCCTGGGACCATTAGCGCCTCCAGCTCCCGCACAAGTTCTACGGGTAGACGAGTGGGAGTCCCAGAGCCAAATGATCTGATCTTTTGAGGAGTTTCATACGGTCTGAAAGAAGACAGGTTGACCTCGTTTCTTATAACGAGAGGAGTATGCTGTGTTTGCTGTTGCCTGTTTCCTGTGTATTCAGCGAGAGAGATATCCATGTCCACGGCATCGTGCGATCGTTTAAGGAACATCTTCTCGAAGACAATTTGACTAGAGGAGTGTAGAAGGAAGCTAGGGGACCCTAAGACAAGTGGAGGTGGTTGTACAGAGCAAGTCGCGCAGTCTAGACGTCACAGTTGTGACAAAACGCCCTCGTAGTCACACAGCCTCTCGTCGGCGTACGAAAAGACAAATTTACGGGCAGGAGGTGCCTCCCTATATGTATGTGTAGAAAACTAACGATACAGCTAATGATACAGGATGTTGACATGATTGCGGCTCTAGAAATACAAACTAGCGGCGAATACGACTATGCGGATATTAGCAATGCAGACAGCAACATGTACCCATTTAAGACTACTCACTGTCTCGTTTGATCTTCAGCTGTGCCTCTTCCATCTTCTTCATCAAGTCAGCGTCACCAATAACTCTCGCTGCATCCCGAACTTCTCGGCATGTTTCGTCCAGCCGGGTGATGACCCGGACAATTGTGCCCTCAGCAACGTCTGTCAGAGCTGTGATCTGCTCGAACGGCATCCCTTTGGCCCATTCGTACACCACTTCCATAAGACCAAACTTCAAGGTGCGGAACTCTTCTCCGGGGACTTGGTGCGATTCTTGGACCTGGCTCACTCGTTCATTGATTGCGATGATCGCATCCCGACCCTCCTCAAGCTTGGGTGGGATGGCAGGTTCAACATCGGTCTTTTCCTGGAATACGAAGCAGGACAGCAGGGCGACGACTTCTTCGGGATCATAAGTAGCCAGCATGTTCTCTAGGATGAGTTCCGTCAAAACAAGCTCATTTGCCGAATTGATCTAAAGGGACATCAACGGGAGGGCACTACAATAACGAGCGAGCATACCTCGCAGGCAACGCGACCCTTCAGTAGGACTGTGGAGTTCTCGTCGATGAATTGTAGATCTTGTAGTACAGCAACGCGCTGCTCATAGTCAGGTATGAGCTCCAGGTTCTGATCGGAAATAGCCATCTTTAGGTTCGCTATGCTAGCGCGGAGAACTTTTTCCGCGTGAATCACAGAGTACTGGTGAAGCCCATATCAGTTCAGGTGTCGAACATGGAGCTAGCGGACCGCATACATGCTGCTCGAAGTCTGGGCATGAGGTACAGGACCTTCCCAACAGCTGCTCTGTTGCCTCTTCTCGAGCTTGGAGTGCGTCCTGCAGCTCGATTGAGCGCTGTTTCTGCTTTCCCCAACCAGCCTCCGGTATCTTTCCAGCTTCGCACCATTCCTCAACCAATGCTGCAAGGGCTCGCGTTGTCTCGCGCATTGCAGAAACCCACCGCCGCCCAAGGATAGCCGTCACATCCACCTACAAGCGGTATGAGTAAACCAATTTTCTCAACATTCACTGGACCATGACCCACTTTGATACTCTGATTCGTAGTCATGGCTATGCTCTTCATGGGTACTCTGAGGATCTCATAGTTGGCCTCCTTCACTCGCAGTACTTCTGGACTTATAGGCCAGCGGGGTGGCAAAGCATTGTAATCGGCATCTAAAGGTATCATCAGTCAAACTCTCATGATAGGTGCACAGTTTGCTTGCCATTCTTCCTGCTCCTTGTCTCTGGATCAACCAGCGCTAGGACGAGATACCATTTGGAGTCGTCTGTAGGTCCCCTGGTTGGTTTAAGGATGACGGCGGCGTTGGATTTGAAGTGCTTCATTGATAGATGAGAATTTATACGTATAGCACAGACTACGCAAGCGCGACTCACTCCATCTCTGAGAATGACAACCCTTTCCGAGCCGAGGTACTTCTGCCCGATAGCTACCAACTGTCGAGTTAAAGCGACAACGTCGTACGAAGCGTCGTAATAGGCCTCAATATCCGGCAGACATTGCTGGCATTCAAGTTTCGGGAACGATGCAAGCTTCTTCTCGCTCTTCATGCCTCCAATATGAGCGAGGATGCACTTTGCCAACTATAAGATACTCGACGCTTACCTCTAACACCTTCTTCTGGTGGTCCGGGAGGAGCTTCTGAGAGGCATTCTCAGAGAAACTACGCTTGATCATTTCTTCAACCCTGAGTGCCTCGACTCGAAGCAAATTGAGGATCATATTATAGGTCAACCTGAACTGTGACTGCAGCCTTGAAGGTGTTCCGAGGATCATCGTCGTCAGCGTGGTCGTCTATTTCCCTCCTCAGATAATTATGGGAACGACAAAGATATGACTTGCCTACCTCCGGTATGTCATCATTGGCTAGAATAATCACAGTTCCCGTGGTGTCCAGACCGCGACGACCAGCACGGCCGGCCATCTGCGTATATTCTCCAGGCAAGATGTACCGAAAGCTCTTCCCATCGTGCTTTCGAATACCGGAGAAGACGACACATTTTGCAGGCATATTGACTCCCTAAATGTGATTTAGACGGTTAGTTCCAACCAAATTGGTACTGCAACTCGTTACTTACCATCGCGAAAGTCTCTGTGGCAAAGAGCACCTTCACAAGTCCTCTAGCAAACAATATCTCGACTACCTCTTTCACGATAGGTAACAATCCACCATGATGAACGCCGATACCGCGAGAAAGCAGATCCCGCATACGCATGATTTGAGGAAGTTTCTTATCAGACCCTGTCACGACGGAATGAGACAAAATCAAGTATGCGTCGACTAAACTTACCGTCGAGTCTGGACAAAGCCTTCTCAATCGTGACGTGGACCTCACTCTTGTCCAGCGCAGTGCTGAGGTCCAGATTAACCAACGTAGCCGCATTCTCCTCACACCTCTTCTTCGAGAACGTGAAGATGACGACGGGCAGCAGCGCCTTCTTCTTCAGATGACCAAGGAGGTGGACATACAGGCTCTTGTCTGCACCTTGGTGAACCGTCCTCTGTGGTCCGCCGCCTCTGCCGCCTCCACGGCCGGGTGCGCCGCGGGCAGGAGGTCCACCACGCTGCCCACCGCGTTGCCCTCGCTGAGCTGGAGCTGCACCACGAGCGCCTACACGCTGGACGGGTGGCAGACCGGCCGCTTCACGCTCCTTGTCTTGCTTCCGTCGAAGCGCCTCACTAGCGTCTTTATATCCTAGCGCATTGAAGTTCCGCTTGGCGTCGACGATCTTGTAAAGTTCTCGCCCTGCATAAAGGAAATGTTCTAGAGGGACTGGACGCTGCGCCGTGGAAATGACATATATGTCTTTCTTCTTTGTCCGTCTATTTAAGTCAGCAACTCCACGGGTCACGATCTAATGCACAACAAACATACCCAACCCAGTCCGCGAATTCCTTGGTATTTGGTACCGTCGCGGATAGAAGAATGATGT